TGCTGCTGATCACTGCGATGGTGATGATGCGAATGCCAATTCCAACGAAGATGAGCGTACTGGTGAAGAGTTCGTTGATGATGATGAAGAGGATGATGATGATGATGCTGCTGATGATGATGCTGATTATGATGATGATGATGATGATGATGATGATGATGATGATGATGATGATGATGATGATGATGGCGATGACGACGATTCCATTGATATTATTGATGGTCATGCTTATGCTGTTGCTGATGATGCTGGTGATGGTGACGGTGATGACGAGGATGCTGATGATGATCTTCGTGATGGTGATGGTGATGGTGATAGTGATGGTGATGATGGTGGTGATGGTGATGATGATGCTGCTGATGGTGCTGCTGCTGAGGATGATGATGATGATCATGGTGATGACGGTGAAGCAGATGATGATGATGATGATGATGATGATGATGATGATGATGATGATGATGACGATCATGATGATGATGATGCTGCTGCTGCTGATGATGATGAGTATGGTGATGATGCTGATGATGCTGATGATGATGATGGTTATAAACATGATGATGATGCTGCTGATGATGGTGATGAGGATGATGATGATGATGGTAATGCGGAGGCGGAGGAAAACAAGTAATAATAAGATTAATAATAATATCATTGATAATAATAAGAAGAAGAAGGAGGCCGTTTGAGGAACATCTATCTCCCCGCGCTCGCCCCCAGCGTCGCGCCCGGCCCATGCGGCCGTCCTCTGGGGGGCCGGCCTCAGCGCGCCGCCGCGCCATCGGAGACGGGCGGCGCGCGTACCACGAGAACGCGATCAACCGTGATTACAACATCGTCCACCAGATGGTGAACATCCAGTGGAGGGTGATTAACAGCGATTGCTACATTAGCCATCTTTTAAAACTACAGGGCGGACACCTTCAATATTAGCTCAGGGCTACGAGACCTACCCACCTTGGAGGAGACCTACAGGCAAGCATGCCGCGACGAGAAGACGCACAGAGGCGCACGGGCGCGAACAGACGCGGCCCAAGAACGAGTGGGGTACAACGTCCGACTTAAGATACACATTCGATCCGACGATCTCATTATCACTGCCACGGCCGCCCTCGCGAGGGTCTCTAACTGCGGAGGCAAGTACGACTCGAATCACCGCGGCAAGTACGACACTTAGTTCCACAAGCGTTACAGAGGCACCCTCCCTTGGCGCAGACGGGCCCCCTTGACGACGCTGCCATCCAGATTTACGATGGCCACCCATGCGGAGCGGGACCTCAGGACCGCGGCCGCGTAGGCTGCGACGGCGACCCGGATTGCTGCTACAGCGGCCACGGCTTCCAGGACTGCAGTGACACCCTGTGCGTGGAATGCTGCGACTCGGCGGCCGCCGGCTCCGATTCGGCTTTCGGGGACTGCGAAGGGAACGTGCCCTCGGGGCCAGCTGACGTGCTCGACTGCTTCCTGGCCGTCGGGGGGGCCTGCGCCCCCCCCCCTCCCGCGGGCGCCTCGACCCGAGGTGGGCCCGAGCACGAGCCCTAGGCTGAAAACTGAGGCGGGTATCCCCCGTGCGGCGGTGCCCCCCACACCCAGCCCTGCGGGCTGCGTCGCCAAGGATGCCCCCCGTCTTCGCCGCGGCCGGCCTCGCTCGAGCTGCGAGGGCCAAAGGGAAGAGCCGCGAGGGCTCGGGAGCAGAGCTGCAGCGGCACGAGGCAGAGCCGCAAGAGCCAGCGCCTGAGCTTCGGGGGCCACCAGGTGAGCTCCGACTGCAAGAAGAACAGCTTCGAGGATCACCAGCTGAGGCTCGAGGGCCATCGGCAGAGATTCAACGGCAAGAGGTAGAGCCCCAAGGCCCGCCAACTGAACTTTGAGGGCCACGAACAAGACTGCGACGGCAAGAGGTGGGGCTTAGAGTGTAAGAACCACCGGCTGAGATTGGCGAGCCACCCGCAGAGCTACGAAGACCACAGGTTGAGCTTCCAGGGCCACGCGCAGAACTACGAGGGTCACAAGCAGGTCTACGAGACCACGCAGAGCTTCGAGGACCACCGTCTGAGCTACGAGAGCTACCAGCCGAACTTCGAGAGCCACCAGTGCCAGCCTCCCTGCCGCCTGGCTGGAACAGCTACCCCGGCCAGCAGGGATGACGTTACCACCACCGTGCGGCCCTGGACATGGCGACGTGGCAAATGCCTTGCACCAGGTCGCCGATACACCCCTCCGTAGCTGCCTCAAGAAAACAGCTGAGCCACCAGGGCCACCAGCATAATTACGAGAACCGCGAGCTGAGCTAAGGCGGACACCGTGCGGTCTACGCCCGCCAGCTGGGCCATCCTGGCCTGCAGAGCTTCGAGAACCACCGCCTGCCCCCAAGGACTGCCTGAATAATTTCGAGAGCCACCAGCAGAGCTGCAAGGGCCACCAGCTGAACTACCAGTGCAACCAGGCGATCAACGAGAATCATCGCCAGAACTACCCGGGCCAAGTGCGGAGATGCGAGGGCCACCAGCAGAGCTACGAGGGCCGCGGGTTGAGCTATTTGGGCCACCTTCTGAGCGACTTAGGCAACCAGTTGAGCCACCAGGGACAGCCGCTGGGCTACGAGAGCCACCGCTGGAGCTACGACGACCACCTGCAGATCTACCAGAGCCACCAGCTGAATGATGGGGGGCTGCGAACTGAGCCAATTCGACCACCAGCTGAACTACGAGTGTCTCCAGCGGAGCTGCGAGGGCTACCAGCAGGGGTTCGGTGGCCACCTGATCTACGAGGCCAACCAGCTGAGCTACGACGACCACCAGAAGAGCTCCGACCACGTGGTCCACGCAAGATCGCAGCCAATGGCTGGTACAAGTGGGACAGGGCATTCCAGCTGCGGATCCGCACCGTAGAGGCTGTCTACGAGGCGGGCCGCGTCTCCTACGACGAGTACACAGGGCGCATCGCAAGTGCGCGCCGCCGTACGAGAGGCCTGCTTACCGCCTTACAGGAACTACATGATCTTCGTATGACACCTCACGATGGTGACGCTGATATGTTGTTGTTGCTGCTAGTGATGATGCTGATGCCGATGGTAAGAACGCCAACCTCAAGCTGGGCCGCTCTGGGTCCAACTACATGTTTCCAGCCCAGAAGCTACTACGCTATTTCGTCTACAACGTTGCCTTTAAGGCTCGCCATGCCCATCGCTACAGGCAAGGCAATACGTCACCCCTTGCCTCTACGACATCCATCGAGTGGCCCCGCCGCTCAATCCATACCTCCCCCTTCCTCTACGCTTCGGAGTATGGTAACTGTGTGCGGTCCTCCCCTATACTCATTCCTTCTTCGGAGCCTCCCGTCGCCGGCGTGCGGCGGCACCGTCGCGGCATTCGCCCCGCGGCCGCGCGTGGGGCGGCGCCGCGGTGGAGTGGGATAGCCGCGCCAATGCTATGTACATAGATACACACATATGGGAGAGAGAGAGAGTGATATATATATATAGAGAGAGAGGAGGAGGAGGAGGAGGAGGAGGAGGAGGAGGAGGAGGAGGAGGAGGAGGAGGAGGAGGAGGAGGAGGAGGAGGAGGAGGAGGAGGAAGAGGATAATGAGGACGACGAAGTCTGTCGCGCGGTCCCAGAAGGCTGGTCGCAGACCAGGGGTTGGTGGTCAATGTCTTGGCCTGTCTTGTTTCAGATCTCCTCATTGACCTGCTTCCGTCGTCCTCATGCTTGCCCCCTCCTCCTCCAGCTCCTGCTCTTGTTCTTTTCCTGATGCTCAATTTCTTCATCCCCCGCATCCAATTTTTCCTCCCAGTCCTCCCTTTTTCTCTTGTTCTCCTCCTCCTCTTAGTGATGCTCTGGCCTTCCAAGTTGCTCATGTCCCTCTTCCTTCCACATTTGGCCCTGCAGCTGATCCTCCGGATCCTCCTTCCTAGTTCCTCCCTATCTTCCCCTCGTTATCCTTCTCCTCCTCCTCCTCCTCCTCCTCCTCCTCCTCATGCTCCTACGTCCGCTCTTGCTCAGGTTCCTCTTCCTCCCAATTGTGGTCCTGTAGCTGATCCCGCGTCTCTCCCCTCCGAGCCACCTCGCTCTTACCTCGGCTGCTCCTGTTCCCCCTCCTCTGCCTCTTCCTCCTCCTTTTCCCGTTGCTGCCCTCCTCTTCCTTGAGCTCCGCGCCCCTTGCCCTCCGCTTGTCCCCCCCCGTCCTTCCCCGTCCTCCTCTTCGTCCTCCTCCTCCTCCTCTTCCTCCTCCTCGTCCGTCCTCCTCGTCCGTCCTCCTCGTCCGTCCTCCTCCTCCTCCTCCTCCTCCTCTTCCTCCTCCTCTGCTTCCTCTTCCTCCTCCCCCATCGCGCCGCGCCCTCCTTGCACTCCGTCCTCTTTGTTGCATCGCCCCTCTTGGCTTTTCCGCCCGCTCTTGCTCCTCCTCCCCCTCCATGGCCCCCCGCTCCTCCCCGACCTGTCCTTTTTTCCCCCGCTCTCGTTCCTGCTCCTGCTAGCCCTCTCTCCAGTCCGCCCCCTTTCTCTTCCTCGACCTCCTCCTGCTCCTTCCTCCCCTCGCTTCTCCCCCGCCTCGTCCTCTGCCCCCTCCCCGAATGAGACGGGCGTGGCGAAGCGACCCCCCCCAGAGAGAGAGAGAGAGAGAGAGAGACGGAGAGAGAGAGAGAGAGAGAGAGAGAGTGAGAAACAGAGAGATGAAGATTTGCACGGCGGCTGGAACGAGTCGGAGGCTGCAATCTCGGATCTGACGGCCTCAGGGCCGAGGAGGGGCGAACATCGAGGCTCTTGGCTGTCTCTGGCCCTCGTCTGGGCGTCCCGGGGCGTCCTGGGTGCCTGCTGGGAATGCTGGCTTGAAGATGTGTCCCCAATTTTTACATCATGAGAGAACATTGTCAACGACACCTGTCACCCCGACTTTCTCTGACTCCCGTCGGTGCCTTAATGTCGCTCATGTGGGACTGTAGCCATTCTGGCACAATCCATCCGCTCCTTCTCGCTCTCACGCCGCTCGCCTCCTGCGCACTCATGGCTGTCCCCGCGAAGGCTCCCTTCTTCGGTGTGCGCTCTGCCGAGGCCACCTGGCCGCTGCCGACCATCGCCTTCCTCGGCGGCACTGGCCGGATGGGCGTCCACCTGTGCGCGGCGTGGGCAAACGCGGGCTACGACGTGACGATGTGCTCGAGGACGAAGGACAAGGCCCAGGTGATCGTGGACTCGCTGCTGAGCGGCAAGGGCTTCCAGGAGAAGGCCAGCAGCGGCAGCGTCGGCGAGATCAGCGTGCCGCCGTGCCCGGCGGACGACTGGAAGCTGAAGGCGGGCACGAACGAGGACGCGGCGGAAGCGGACATGATCGTGCTGGGCACGCGCTTCGACGCGGCGTGGCCGCTTCTTGAGGCGATCGCGCCGAAGATCCGCGGCAAGGGCAAGCTGATCCTCGACATCACCAACCCCTACCTCGCTTGGACCATGGGCGGCTCAGGCGGAGAGAAGGGCGCCGCTCTGCTTCCGAAGGACGGGCCGCAGTCGGGCATCGAGTTCCACATGGCCAAGCTCGACGATCCGAGCACCAAGTGGGCGGCCGCGTACAAGACGGTCTACTGGAGCCTCATCTCGAAGAAAGGAAAGCGCGCCATAAACAGAAACTTTAGCGCTCCGCGCGGATTTCTTGGATCCGCGCTGGGCCCCCCTGGCGGCGCCTCCGGCGCCGCCTCCGGCGCGCTCCGCGTGCCATGGAGGGGGGTCCGGCGCAGATCCAAGAAGTCCGCGCGGAGAGCCCAAAGTTTACGTCTATGGCGTTCTTTCTTCTTCTGTTATCCTGCCGACCGGTCCGAAAAACACGGGCCGGCCTGGCGTCGAAGTGTTTGGCGACGAGGCGGCGCTCCCGGTCGTGTGCGAGCTCGTCGCGATGCACGGCTGGAAGCCAGTTGTCCGCGGGGACTGCTCGGTGGCCCCGCATTTCGAGGGCGGCACCATGGGCTTCTGCCGCTTCCTCGGCAACATGAAGCGCGAGATGTTTGAGGGCGAGAAGCTCAGCGTCGGGTGGTGAGGGCGTGCGCGCGCCGTGCAGAGGCGCGTGGGCGGGGCGGAGTGCGCCGCAGTCGGAGGCGCGTTCCCTCTGGCCAGGGGAGCTGCAGCAGCCGCCGGGGCGCCACCGCGCTGTGCTCGCGCCCCGCCGCTCCCGCCCTCTGCCGTGCGTCCCTCTCCGCTTTCTTCGCGGGCCTAGAGATTGACACCAACACCGACACCAATTTCGGCGGTGTGCCTCCACCGAGGGAAGAAGATCCCGATCTCGGTGCTGGTGGTAGAATTCTGGCTTCCAGGGTGGCCGAAACATCACCATCATCACCGGAATCTAGGATTACCTTCCCCTTGTGGAGGCAACCCCCATGCGTTGGCGTTGGTGCCCATTTCCAGGCCTCCAATTTCTGTGTCCTCCGCCCGCCTTGGGGTCCCGCGTGTCTGCGCAGATCCTCCCTCGGCTCCCGTGCCGTGGCCCGTCTGGTCGTGGGCGAGGGGGCCGCTGGCGCACGAGGCTGCGGCGTTGGGTCTCATATGGGGGCGGCCGCCTTCCCGCTGAGAAATTGTTCTGCCGCGGGCGCAGGGGAGGTGCCGACGGCCCCAAAGGATCATGTACCCATACCGATTTGTTATTGAGATTCCCTGTGTCAAGCAGTGGCGAAGCGTCCTGGCTTGCCCATAGGCCCACCAAAGAATGTTCTAAGATCCTTTTGTGGTCTGCACGAAATGTTCTTGCAATAATTATGGCCGAGGCTGCCCTGTTTTAATGCATTGGATCTATGTTCTAAGAGCATTGTTTTTTCTTAGAATGCTTATGGGTTCTAAGAACCTGTCGTTGTAGGCCTATAGGAATGCCGGGACGGTCGGTCCCTGCTCAACTTTGCTCCTGACGGAGGCACGCGAGAGATGCGCAATTTATTCCCCCCCCTCCTTCTCCGCCGCCTCCCCCTTCTCGTCCTCGCTGCCCTTCCGTCCTCCCGGTTTCCCTCTCCTCCCCCCTCTTCCCTTCCACGCCGTACTGAGTTTTTTACGCTTCGTGGATGGCAAAGCCAGTCGATAATTGTCGTCTTCGTGCACGTCCCCGTTTTCTTTCTCCTCTCGTATCACATCATCGCGATCGTCCTTCGCTTCGTTCCAGTTGTCCTTATCCTTCTCCTCAGTCTTCCCTGATTGCTTCTCCTGGCATTGCGGCTCGTCTTTTCCAGATGGAGTGTGTATTGGACCCTGTTCACGGTCAATGTAGGCGTGCAAGGCTTGAAATCATGCTTGCAACGCGTTTGCCGTTGATTCGCACATCTCCATCTGACGAGTTAGCTGCGGCTTCCATTTGTAATCGGAGGCACATCTCGTGTTGCTCCGACACATCGTGTCGGGCCCTCAATGGGTGGCTTCTTCCGAGTTGCAAGAAATCAGCTATCACCAGTCTTTATCACAATGTGCGATATGTGTGGGATTATATGGGCGCAGCTGTTAAATCTTACATGTGTACGGCGTGCTGCATATCGGTTCTGGGAGTCTGGCACTCTAGTGTGGCTTTAGCCAGGCCTCTTAAATCCTACGGTGCACCCACGCAATGTGTTGCCATCATGCCTACTTGGGTCTACGAACTCCCATGCGTACCTACGTGTTCACGTTTGGATGGTACTCTGGAACGCTAAATCGTCGTGCACATGTTCGTGTATAACGTACGCCGTTACGCTTGATCTTACGTCTTCGTATGTATTCGTACGTTGTTGTCTTTACCTGATTGTCTCTCCGAGCGGCTGTGCATTCGTATGTACCTCATGCGTGTGTGTCCCGACGTATCGAAGACGCCTACGGCGAATCACCGCCGCCCACTGCCTTTTCGGAAGCGCCTATGTGGCCGAATATTGTGGCCAGAATTCTGCCAAACTATCGGAATCTATGCTCCCCCCAGCCGTTGTGGAAACCCTTCGGGGAACACGTGGGGGAGACAGAAGAAGAGGAGGAGGAAGGGAAGAAGGAGGAAGAGGCCTCTTGGGAGCCTCGTGACGCACTCTTGGGGCCTCCTGGGAGCTTCCCGGGGTCCTCTCTCAGGTCTCGGGGGGGCCTTGGGCCTCTTGGGAGCCTCTGGGGGGCTCCTTGGGGACCTCTGCGGTGCAGGGAGCTAGACGCGGTCAGCGCGCTGCTCAGGCACCCGAACGACGAGGAGGGGGACAAGGTGGAGGACCTGCTGCGCCTCATCAAGGAGTGGCAGGCGCACGCGGCGGAGCACGCCGAGGGCGAGGGCTCGGTCGCTGCGACGGCGGCGCCACTCAGCAGCGGCCTGTCCTCCGACGTGGGCGAGTGCGACTGGGAGCGCTCCTCGGGGTTGGAGGCGAAGGTCGTGGAGGAGGAGGCCGCCAAGGAGGAGCGCCAGGAGGCGGAGGTGACGGCGAGCCCTCGCGAGAGCAACCCCGCAACCGTACGCGGCGGGGGAGGTGGCTCGGCTGGGCAGGAGAGCACGACGGCTAGCTCTCGCCACACGGCGGGCGCGGCCTTGGACACGGAGCTCGACGACCTCGACGTCTTCTTCGACGGGATGCTGGAGGAGCTTGGGCTGCTTGGGGGCCCGTCCACCGAGCAGCCGATGCGCGAGGAGGCGGGCCACGCGCCGCTGGGTGCAAGGTTGGCGAACGAGGACGTGGCCGAGGAGGAGGGCAAGGAGAGAGAGGGGGGGCGCCTTGACGGACATGGTCTGGGTCCCGAGGGCGCTCCCGCCTGACCCTGGAGAGGGCCACATTTTCGGGGTATGGGGCGAGCCATCGGGCCAGGAGCAGGAGGATGCAGCCACGCTCATCGCGCGATGGTGGAGGGGATGCAGGCTTTCGCAGGCTCGATGGCAGGCACTCCAGGCGGAATACGACGCGCTGATGGCCGAGCTCATTGCTGCGAGGGCCGCGTGCGGGTGAGGCAGGCGGGCCGGTGTTTCGCGGGCGTGCAGTGCAGCGAGGGTGCTGGGCCTCGGTTTCAGCACAGGCTGCAGGGCCACCAGGACGGGACGGCGTCGCTGGACTGAGGGCGCGGGGTCGGCGGCTTCGAGAAGTTGCTGAGGTGCAAGGTGCTTGCGCCTTAAGGTCGAGTTCGAGCTGGAGGGTGACCAGCTGGACCAGGCCAGTCAGGCCTGAGGCGTGCCGCCGCCTGCGGCGAACGGGCCTCGTGGCGGGATCCGCTGGAGGCTTGGGGGAGTAAAAAAAGGCTTCTTTGGGACCTCTGTGGCCGTCGTAGGAGGTTCCTGGCCCGTCCATCGCCGGCGGAAGCCGTCTCCTGGGCCAGTCTGGGCTGTTTTGGAGCCTTCTTGTCCAGGCGATCGCAAGCATGGATCAAGGGGGCGTGGATTAGCGACGGATCCCGTTTCCATGGGAAATCGCGGGCTTCCGCCGCCGAGCGGGGCGGCAGCGGCCGCATCTTGGGGAGGGCGCCTCCCCCGCTCCATGGATTTGGCGACCGCGCGCCGAATCCATGGATCGCTAATCCACGTTTGCGCGCCCCCGAAGGAGGTTGCTGGCCCGTCTATCGCCAGCGGAAGCCGTCTCTGGGCCAGTCTGGGCCGTTTGGGAGCCTTCTTGTGGTTCTTCAGGGCTGTCTGGGAGGCCATCTTGGGCGTTTTGGAGGCCTCCTTGGGCCGTCTTGAGGCCCCCTTTGGGCCGCCTTGCGGGCCTCTTGGGCCGTCATGCGGCATCTTCGGACGCCTCTTGGTCGCTCTGGGGCCGATTTCGGGTGCCCCTTGGGCCGTCTTGTGCCGTCGGAAGGCAGAAACGACACACATGTCACACTTCTTCAAACAACCGATTGGAAATCAGTGAGTTTGGCCTCTTGGTGCCTTCCTGGCAGACCTCTTGGAGGCCTCCGTAGCCGTCTTGGCAGCTTCTTGGGGGCCTCGTGGCGTCTTGGGCCATCGTGGGGCCATCTCCGGCCGTCTTGGGTGCATCTAGGGTCGTCGTGGAGACATCTGGCGGCCATCTTGGGCTCTCATGGAGGCCATCTCGTGCGTCGTGGAGGCCTGTTTGACTGTCTTTGGGGCCCTCTTGGGGCCGTTTTGTGGGATTCAGGGGCGTGATGGGGCCATCTCGGAGGCCTCTGCGGCGATCTTGGAGCGATCTTTGGGGCCGTCTTGGGCCGTCTTGGGCCGCCGGAAGGCCTAAAAGGGGGATAAGTAAAACATCTTGAACACCTAAGGACAATCAATGATTTTGTCCTCCGTAGGCCTTCCTGTAGGTCCTCTTGGAGGCCTCTTGGGCCGTCTTGGAGGCCTCTTGGGGGCTTCTTGGGTCGTCTTGGGCCATCTTGAGGCCATCTTGGGCAGTCTTGAGTGCATCGTGAGCTGTCTCGGAGGCATCGTTCTGCCATCCTGGGCTCTCTTGAGGCCTTCTTGGCCGTCTTGGAGGCGTCTTTGGACCATCTTGGAGGCCATCTTGAGCCATCTTGGCCGTCCTGGAGGCGATTTCGGCAACGGGCTCTGGAGTCGCTGGGGCTTTCTGGATGGCTGATGCGTTGGGCCGAGACCCCGCGGGTAGTTCTTCGGAACAGAGTTATACACCTGACAAATCTTGAGCACGCTGTGCATCCCTGTGGCAAGAGAAGGGGGCGGCGGATCTAAGACACCTACGGCGAATCACCGCCGCCCCCTGCTTTGTGGAAACGCCCATGCGGCCAAACGTTGGGACGACGTCTGGCCAATCTATAGGACCATGTGTTCCCCCCAGCCGTTGGTGAACCCCTTGGGGGAACACTGGGGAGAGGAAGAGGAATGAGGAGGAGACAGAGGGGGAGGAGGAGGAGGAGGAGGATGAGGAGGAGGAGGAGGAGGAAAAGGAGAAGGAGGAGGAGGAGGAAAAGGAGGAGGAAAACGAGGCCTCTTGAGGCCCTTCTGGGGGCTTCCTGGAAGCCTTTGGGGGGGCGCTGAGGGGCCTCTTGGGGTCTCATAGGGACTCGTGAGGCTTTCCTGGGGCCTCTTGGGGACCTCTTAAGGGGCCTCTGGCGTCCTATATGGGACCTCTTGGCCTTCGGAGGCCTTCTCG